ATCTATGAGGTCACTAAGGTTCCTGGCTGGGTCCTCGGAGCTTACCTATATGTTCCAAATAGTCTTATCCCCTGTGTTGTATTTACTTGTAACTATGTCACATTAATATGGCCATCTATTACCTTCACATCAACAGATTCAAAGCCTTCTGATGTATAATATAATCACAATATACTACACATTTTCAGCACACACTGATGTTGCTCTCTTTAATTTCCTGGACTCAACAAAAGAATGAGTCAGAAAGAAATTCAACTTTGCCTATTGTTAGACAATGCCTCAGAGATTTTCCCAACAGAAGAGAATAATGGAGGCTTGGCTCCTAAACACTGATATCCTACAAAAACTAGGCCAGGCCCCATGAAATGGGTTGGCCGATGTTGTAACAGCTGTAAGACCAGCTTCTCCACTGTGAGTCTACATAGTGCCTGGAATCAGAGGATGGACATCTAATTTAAATAGCTTGTCCATCAAACTTTGATTCTAATTATTTTCTCTGTTGGTATAGTCAGAGATCCAGAAACCACTTCTCTATGTACTTGCTTTTTTGAGAAAGGCAAGAACTTGCATTTATGTAAATAAAAAAGAATAAGGACAGTGTCTCTCATATTTCAAAACTTACTTTCTAATACACAAACATATATTGGAGGAACTAAGGTTAGATTCTTTATCATATTATAATGAGATTCTAAGATGACTCAACTTCCTTTGGACTTTCATAATGAGGAATCACAATTGGTATTGAGGGAGAGTCTGTTCTTCTTAAGATGTCTATGGAGCAGGAAGTTAGCTATGTCGGAAATAGGAAAAAGGGAGGGATAGGAATGTATTAGTGATTTCTGACTACTGGATGTACCTATTACTTGTATCATGCTGGCCCAGTAGGGGGTTCTCCATCTGACACTTTATGCTTTTCCTTCAACTGTGGCCCAGCAGCTTAAGAATGAGAATAAAAATTTTGTAAATGACTAATTCTCTTCTCTCAGGACTGTGATTTTCATTTTGTCTCTAATAGATTTGCTGAAAGAAACTCCCTAAAATATATTAAGTAGAAGGATATTCATTGTAACTAAAGAGTTCCAAATCAACAAAGTTAGTGGCCTGATTGTGGCAGCATCAGCAGACTCTCCAAGGCTCCCCAACATATTCCTCATCAGCTTGCTTTGCAGCAAACTCTGTCTGACCCCCTGACCTGGATGCAGCCTGCAAAGGGGGTTCAGCTATCTGGGTGAGGTCACATGCCAACCTAGAACCCTTGGCCCCAGAAACCCCTGCAATTTCTTTTTAGGTGTCTGCATATCTAGAAGGCTACCATTTAGAATGACCTGGGAAGTATGCCAGTATCCTATACAATCATGCTGTACATTTCATCTCTTAGTTAATAGGAAGCAATTAAGAGGGTTGGAGTTTGCTCTTAGCTAAACCTGAGGCAGCAGGGAAATTCAGTACATGGCTTTTATCATCAAAAGCTCAAAGTTTGTATCACATGTGTCTGGGAGGGAAAGAAAGATTAGTGGAACAGACCATCCCTATTGTTCCTTTTGCTGGGGCCTGTGCTATAGTTAGAACACCAGGAGGACTTGTCACCATCATGGGCATTTAGGATGGCAGATGGCAGCCTGTGTGTGTGTGACATACATTGACTTATAAACTTTTGTTTTTCCATACTTTTGTTGTATGATTAATTGCCTGTGAGCCATGTATTGTGGGTGTGATACTGTAAAATATATATCTGGTCTTTGGCCTGTTTTCTGACATACAACTTCTAAAATCCTTAGAATCTCCCAAGTAATGTCTTGTTGTGTGCTAATGGAATGACTGGTGGCTGACAGCTGTAGGTAGCTTCAAATGGGGTGCGTTAGTCCATTCTCGTGCGGTTAATGAAAACATTCCTGAGACTGGGTAATTTATATGGAAAAAGAGGTTTAATGGCCTCACAGTTGCACATGGCTGAGGAGGTCTCCATATCATGGCAGAAGGTGAAGGAGGAGCAAAGGCATGTCTTACATGGCAGCAGGCATGAGAGTGTGTGCAGGGGAGCTGTCCTTTAAGAAACCATCAGATCTCATGAGACTTATTCACTATCATGAGAGCAGCACAGGAAAAACCTGCCGCCATGATTCAATGACCTCACACCAGGCCCCTCCCTTGACAAGTGCCATGACAAGTGGGAATTACAGGAGCTACAATTCAAGATTAGAATTTGTGGGATAGGGACACAGCCAAACCATATCATAGGGGCTGGCCCCCAGAAAGACCAAGAAATGATTAGAGTGTTGGATTTTTCAACCCCATCTCCCAATCTCTGGGGAGGGAAAAGGGACTGAAGGCTAAGTTGATCACTAATGTCCCATGGTTTAATCAATCATAAAATCTAAAAATGACTGGTTTGAGGAGCTTCCAGATAGCTGAACATGTTCTTGAAGGGTGGCATGCCCAGAGAAGGCATGAAAGCTCTGAGCCCCTTCCCCAATACCTTACCCTATATATCTCATCTTTATCCTTTGTAATATCATTTATATTAATAGTAAACTGGTGAACTTGAGTGTTTCCTTTACTTCTATGTGCCCCTCTAGCAAATTAATCAAATTTAAAGAGGAGATCATGTGACTCTCGATTTACAGCCAGCAGTTCAGAAGTGTGGGCAAAACAACCTGTGCTTGTGATTGGTATCAGAAGTAAGGTGGAAGCAGTTTTATAGGACTGAGTCCTTAACTTGTGGGCACTACACTAACTCTAGGTAGATAGTGTCAGTATTGAACTGAATTAGAGGATACCCAGCTGGTGTCTGCTGCAGAACTGATTGCTTTCTCGGTGTGTAGGAGAAAATCCCACACACATTTGGTCACAGAAATCTTCTGTGTAATCGTTGTGGTATGGGAGCAGAGGAAAAGCAGTTTGTTTTTTTCACGGTTTCTGTTTGTATTTTTTCCGACCAGAGTGGGGAAAACACTTTCTAAAATGTTAAACATAGAGTTACCATATGATACAGTAATTCCACCCTGATGTATGTATCCAAAAGGACTGAAAGCAGAGTCTCAAGCAGGTATATGTATGTCCATGTTCATACCAGCACTATTTGCAATAGCCAAAAGGTAGAAACAACTCAAATGTTCATAAATAAATAAATCGATAAGCAAAATTAATATATATGTACATATACTAAATATATTAGACAGTAACAATTACAGAGTTTTAAAGTGGGATAAAATATTGATGCTTGCTATGATATGGATGAACCAGGAAAGCATCATGCTAAATGAAAGAATACAGACACAAAGGGTTGCATAATGAATGACTCCATTTACATGAAGCATCCAGAATAGGCAAATCCATAGAAATATTATTTCAGGAATCCAAGAGTAAAACTTTAAAAGCAGTTCAGATAATATATTTGTTGAATGTATTATTCACACTCATGCAGACCTATATAGAGGAGTCCCTATAGGGGGCCTGTTCATGATATTAGCCATGTTTCTATGCAATTATCTCTCTTCTATCTTCTTTCTAAGTTTTCTTTCTCCCTTTTAATGTAATACTGTCTTGTCTACAGGACTTTACTTCAAGTAGCCTCAAAGCCTTTATAGAAGTGGGTGAGATAAAATTATAACTAAACAGCTAACCAAAAGCTCTCTTTACACTTAATAACAAATAATTGCTTATTTGACCTGAAATAAAAATTTGAGGTTAAAAAAAGAGCTCACAACTCCATTGTTCTTTTGACTTAACATTCATTTTACCAAGTGTGAAAGGTTCATCAAACTGAACATGGTTTCATTGCCTTTTTCTTCATAAGAAGAATGTTTTGTTTAGTTGAGCCTTTTCTGCCGTGCCAGTTTTATGGTGAGGTGTCCAGGCTTCCCTCTAATCATACCGCCCATTGGTATGTTATGAAACAGTTTATGGCCCTCATTAACTTTGATGATAATAATTAAATGAAGCTGTGAATTATGTCCAGGGCCAGCTCTCTGGGGTGTTCCTGATTTAGTTTCCACAGACAATCAAGAGATGGTTGGTCTAACTAAGCCAGAGTCCAGAATATTGTGACTTAAATACGTATCTTCTGAAAATAGAAGTCTGTCCATAGAGAAAAAATAAAAGACCAGAAGCAAATATAAGTCAATATAGAGAGATCCTTGCAATGAGCACAGAGCCTGCAGTTGAGGAAGCTTCAGAGGAGAGACAGTGCTTCCTCTGCGTGTCAGCCTGATTTAGTGAGGAGGAAAGGTGAGTGGCACCTGGTAAGCCCTTACCATGAACTGAGCATATAGGATCTCTTTAATCCTCCAAAAGCCTCATAAAGATGCAGCATTGGTCAGGCAAGGTGGCTCATCCCTGTAATCCCAGCACTTGGGGAAGTTGAGGTGGGTAGATCACCTGAGGTCAGGAGTTTGAAACCAGCCTTACCAACATGGTGAAACCCCATTTCTCGTAAAAATACAAAATGTTAGCCAGACATGGTGGCTCATACCTGTAATCCCAGCTACTCAGGAGACTGAGGCAGAAACATCACTTGAACCTGGGAGGTGGAAGTTGCAGTGAGCTGAGATCACACCATTGCACTCCAGCCTGGACAATACGAGCAAAACTGTCTCAAAAAAATAAATAAAATATCCAGCATTGTGCCCACTGCCGAGAAGAGTAAGCAAATGCTTGTTTCCTGGTAAACTTTATGGTGTAAAGCCCCTGAGGTCCCAGCTATGAGAACTGAAGCTGTGGATATCTTACAGTCCTCAGTTCATATGGATGAAGGGATATCTGGGCCCATGAGGAGCTGTCTGCTGGGGGCCGTAGGCCAGGGTCCTCTGAGTCTTCTATCGGAATCTTATAATTTTATGCCCAATTCTAAGGAAGACAGTGCTGCAAAAAGAAGTAAGAAACAATTGGAAAGCTAGATCACTATGCCCTCCAGAGAATATTCAGTGATCAAGGTGGAGTCCTTAGAAGAGGCAGCCACGTGGCAGGACAGGGGCAGGGATGGAGGTGTGGGTGCATACCACTGGGCATCTCCTAGAGAGACTAAAGAAGGACTGGAAAGAGTAAATGTCTTTGTTAGAAAAATAGTCTCTCTGAAGCACAGGGTAAATGCTTTCTGGGAAAACTGAGAATTATATGCAGAGGGTCTGAGGGTGAGAACAAGTTTGGGACCTGCCTTCATGGAAGAGTCTGTGTCAGACACCAGTGCTGCCATCATCACGACCCAGGTTTTAATTTGCCTGATATCATCTGGAAAACACACAGTAATAAGTATAACATTATTTTTGTGCTGTTCTGAACCTCTAGAAAAAGCAGCACAGTTGAATTCTAACAAATGCACTCTTAAAGAAATAGACAAATAGATCAGTGCTGCAGAACACAATTCAGAAAGTGACCAGCGAATATTTGGAACTTTTGTATCCAATAAAAGTGGCCATCAACCCAGAGTGTAATGAAGGGCTACTTACTTAATAATCAATGTTGAAATAATTTTTTATCCCTTGGGGAAAAGTAAAGATAGCTCACTTTCTCAAACCATGAAAATAAAAAGCTAGGCAAATCAAATGCCTGAACAATAAAGACAATAAAAACATCAGAAAAATAGACTATATTTCTAAACTTGAGAATAGGAAAGGGATTATTGGGAAACAGAAATGCAAAAGTCACACAGAAAAAGATGGCTAAATATAACCGTGTCCGGGATGTGTATGTATCAAGCTCTAAAATTGTCCCATTGAAGCTTTTCTTGGTTTGAGCAGAACAAAAATGCATCATCTCTCGCTGCCTCCATGAAGGTGGAAGACTGACAGCTTTCATCAAAACCTTTCTCCACCTAATGTCCTTCTCAAAATCCTTTCAGATTCTTGACACAGTTCAAGAATTAAGAGTCACATAACTATTTTTGGTCATTTCCATTGGTGTCCTTCATAATGTATTTACTTTAGAATATTTATTATCTTGGGGCCTCAGCCAAAGCTAAGATTAAATAGTTATTTTTCATATCTTGGTGTGTGTATGTGAGTGTGTATGTGTACTGTGTGTGTCTCATGATACTTCAAATTGATAGCAGCAGTAACTCTCAGGCAGAGGGAATGAGTGGAGTAGTGAATGGTCAAGAGTGACATTAGCTTTATCTGTATTGTTTGAATTTTTATAGTGACAGTATATTCGTGTATTTCTTGTGTTATTAAACGTAAATGAAATTTAATATACTCTAGCCTGTGCTGGTTGTGTTTCTGCAACTTAATTTCCATCTGCCAATGAAATAAATCTGAAACCTTTCATTTGGGTTAATGGTCCAACTTAATGTGTTGGTCAATTGGAAAAAAAGCAAATTGCAAGGAGGTTTTCAGGGCTCTGTGCTTTGGATTGCTCTTAAGATCACAGAGTTTTCTTCTGATATTTACTTTTCCCAGATATATACTCAGTGTGTAATGGATATTTGTCCTGGTCCTTGGCTGACCTAAAGGAGTAAATGGTAAGGCCAGCAACTTCCTGTCTTGCAAACATGAGAGAATACATAGCTACCTGGTCCATTTCCAGCTGGAATCAAAGTCCAGTAGGTAGAATGTTTATTTGAACAGCGAAATTGAAATGGGCTTCTGTTTGGCTTCCCAAAATAAGCTGAATAACCACTTTTGTGATCTGCAGACAGCATCCTGGGAATATTTTGGCAAAGGGGCAGTTGTGAAATGAATGAGGTGATAAGTGCAAAATGGATACTGTGACTTTGGCTGGAAGGACACGAGGCATGGCACTAAAGGCACAGGTACCAATCTGCCAGACAACTTTCCTCTGTACAGTCTTCCACACTGCAATAACAATATCTTAGTGATTCCTGGTTTGTGTTTTATAAACATTTCAAAGTGCTTCCACACCTTCACTGGCCCATTTTACACCTATTGAGTGCCCACAATTGTTGGTTGCAGGGCTGGGAGTAGACAGAACTATTTTCTTTCATTTCATAGTCTAATTTGTGGAGGTAGACACTTCAGCTAGCGTTATAGCCTTCTGGAAAGGGCTTTGAGAGAAGGAAATCCAAGAGCTAGGGGACAACAAAGGCAGGCATTAGAGGGAGGTGGGACAAGCTGGGCTGCTTTGAGAAAAGAGAGTGGCACGTGCTGAGGCACTGAGGTCTGGAATTGCACTGTGGGTTTTGAGAAATGTAGGTAATGAGGCCTGGACATGAGCACAGTGAAACTTGCGCCACACAGAGTCTTGTGTGATCATTCATGGAGACTGAACCTGATGTGAAGGCAAGAACATTTGATGGAGTTTAAGCAAGGGAGGTACTGGGACATATTTGCACTCCAGGGTGAAGAATCAACAGAAAGGAGGCACCACTGGAGGTTGGAAGGCCAATTAGGGAGCTCTCCCAGCAATCCACACCAATGAGGCTGCTCTAAGACAGAGGTACCTGGAAACGGGGGAAGGGAATAGAATCGAGGGAAATGAAGGAGCTTCTATTGGTCACTTCTTGGATGTTGGAGAGGTGTGGAGAAGGGTGTCTGGGTCCCTGTACTTGTACAGGCACCATTCACAAGGTGAGACCAAAAGGAGGATTGCGGTCAGGGGAGAGTTGAAAAGTATGCTTTTATAATATATTTTCTCCCACACTTTCTACCCAAATTCCAGTGAACTGGGTATGATTGGAGGATGAAGTTTCTCTTCTGGCAAGGAATTTTAGACACTCAGTAAATGAACTTATCCAAGGCCTCCACCTGGTTATACCAAATATGGAAATACAATGGAGTTTCTTTTTTTTTGGTTTTGTTTTTTTTTTGTTTGTTTGTTTAGTGGGGAATAAAATGGAGTTTATAGTTTAATGCATTGGCAGCATTCATTTAGCATTCCCTGAACCTCTAATGTGTTCTTGGGGTAGAGGAAAGGAGTGGAATATAAGATATTCACTCATCTGAAAATTATAGATCAGTGATCAGTGAGAAAACAGTAACCCAGACTTTATCAGAGCAAACAACGTGCCTAATCAGAGTTGGACAAACATAAGCCAGATGGAAAATGCAGTATGATGACCAAGATGGTCTCTTTCAGGTACAAAAGTACCATGTATGTGGGGGCAGGGGCCAGAGGAACATGGTGTGAAAAATAAGAGGAGACCAACCTAGAAGAAAATACAGGATGAAGGAAAATTATTAGCAATCATTTTATGCTACAGAGCAGTTTAGTAAGAATGAAAATTCAGGTTAGCTTAAGATAAAATGATCAAAGGCAGTTGAATAGAACATTCAGATGGTAGGATATAAGTGAAAGCACACAGTTGTTACTGAACTCACACATAAATTTGGTTAAAAATATAAAATGATAGCTACAGACTGGGAGAAAATATTTGCAGATCATTTCTGCAGTAAAGAACTTATATCCAGAATACATAAAGAATACTCAAAATTGAATAAGAAAACAAGAAATCCAATTGTAAAACAGGCAAATGATTTACCAAAGTGAAATGAAAACTGTGTTCACACAAAAACTTACAGCCAAAATGTTTATAGAAGTTTATATGTTGCAAATGTTTGCAATCAACCCAAACTGGAAGTAACTCAAATGCTCCTCAAGAGGGGAATGGATAAACACACTGTGGTACATCCATAAAATGTAATAGTATTGAGCAATAAAAAGAGCAAGCTACTGGTGCCAGCAACAACATGGATAGATATCAAGTGTATTACACTAAATGAAAGAAGCCAAAGTCTGCATAATATATGATCACATTTATGTAACATTTTGGTAAATGCAAAATGATACAGACGAAAAACAGATTGGTGGTTTCCAGGGCCCGTGGGTGAGGGACAATCTACCCACAAAAGGGAGTGAACAAATATTTTGAAGATGGATCATTGTTCCATACATTGATTGTGGTCATGGTTACATGACTATTTATCAACATGAAGAACTGAGCAGCATTAAGAAAGTGAATTTATGGCATGTAAATAGTATCTTAATAAGAAAATGAAAAGGAATTTTAAAATAAATAAATTAGAAACACCAAAGAACAGGGAAAAGTCTAAAAAATCAAATTAATGATGTGAAGAAAAGGCCTAATATAATCACTGGGCATTGTAAATGATAAAGGCAAAAATATTAAAATAGGAGAGAAACTAATATGTTTGTGCACCATTCAACATAAGGTAAAGTGATGTTTCTAAACAAAACAAAAAACCTTACAAATGGAAAAATGTGTTTGATATTTAAAATTTTCTCAAAGAACAAATAACCATAACACATTAAAAAAAAAAATGTTCCAGAATTCTTAACGCTGAGACACATACTACTTAAGCTACTGTGTTTTATAAATAGTTTTTTTTTTTTTTCCCATGAATCCAGGCAGAAAAGTAAAGTTTCTACTGCAACGAAAAAAATTCAACTGGCCTCAGACTTTTCTACACTGATTGCCTGTACAAAAAAAAAAAGCCTTAAGGTGAAATTAATCACTATGAATAACTATGGTTATTCATAGCCAAGGTGGTATCAAAATTTAAAGATAATAAGGAAACATTGTCAAATATGAAAGAACTCAAGTGAATATCTTTGAACCACTTTGGAAATTAAAAAACAAACAAGGCAGGGCGCGGTGGCTTATGCCTGTAATCCCAGCACTTTGGGAGGCTGAGGTGGGTGGATAGCTTGAGCCCAGGAGTTCGAGACCAGCCTGGGCAATATGATAAAACCCCATTTCTACAAAAAATACAAAAATTAGCTGGGCATGGTGGTGCATGCCTGTAGTCCCAGCTAGTCAAGAGGCTGAGGTGGAAGGATTGCTTGAACTTGGGAGGCAGAGGTTGCAGTGAGCCAAGATCTGCACTCCAGCCTGGGCGACAGAGAAAGACTCTGTCTCAATAAATAAATAAACACATTTTGAAAATAAATAAATAAAAATGTAAAACAAAACAAACAACAAATACCTCTATGTAAGTCTCATCTAACCAAAGGATTTTGAAAAAATAAAGTAAGCAGGAGAAAACGTATTAAATGGCTTTGCAGTGAGGATTTAATTCATTTAAGTATAAAAACTTGTTATTAATAATTATAAGAATTATGGGTACAGATCGTCTTGCAGACATGATGTGCCTGAAAATCATTTTAAAATGTTGTAAAATAACAATTGGATCTTGGCAGAATTGCTAAGAGCCCATGTCTAAAACTGATGCATAAAGATTTGTTTAAAATGGATCTGTTACTTTGTTTTCCTTAATCTTCATTTTTCACTTTAGAAAGATCTTTTAGGAAAGAACACTTGTGTGGTAAAGAGACATTTATTTCAAAGTGAAGTGTCTCTTTAATTAGTCCTTTCATTTTCAATTTCAATTCAAATTCTGCTAAAATTAAAAACAATAATTTTCATAAAAATAGAATCTATAGAATGGTCTAATATTTATAATAGTTTTTCTGACTAGCTTTCTTTCCTTTTAGCTCTGTTTATGCACAGAAATATACCTTTAGTAACAATAATATTAAATAGTAATATTATTTACCATTTATGTCAGGTATATTCTACATGTTTTACATGGATTAGCTCATGACAGTACTCCTGTGGGTTAAGTACTATCATCATCATCATCTTCATTTAGAGGTGAGGAAACTGAGGAAGTGACTGGACCAGGAAGGACCCAGAAGCAGCCAGGCTGGCCTCTGCCTGGTTCCTGCTCTTTGCTGACATGTTCAGTGGCCTCCTAAGGATTCATGGTGGCTGATTCTAATAGAAGGAATATCTTTTCACTTTTATCTGTGTACATTTTTTTCCATAATTGTCCTAATTCTTTTAGCTATGTGTATTTGTTTAAGTAAGAAAGCATAATTTAAAAAAAATGTGCAAAGAGTTAGAAGTAGTTTAAAATAGGCTAAGATATAAGTGGGATGTGGAAAATGTAGATGGTTGCTTCTTTGAATTTGTATCTCAAATTTTTACATTTTAAAATATTGAAGAAAAAAATGAGTGATCTGATTCAAAGTGAGATTGACTCCCTTTTAGGCAGACAAGCGAAGCAGCCATTTCTCTTTGGGTTTAATTTACGTTTTTATTTTTATATTGGTAGTACTTGGTCCTTTGCCTGTTAATTTCTCCAAAGTTCCTTGGTTAGGAATACATGCATTCCTTCTTCTTCTCAAAGTGCTTTGGTATCCACCAAGAAGAGGAGTGCTGTTTTTAAAGGGAGTGGAGTATAGATAATTACAGTGACATAAAATGGGAAGAAAAAGATGCCTATGGGAAAAAAACATGTTATTTTATTTATTTATTTTTTATTATACTTTAAGTTCTGGGGTACATGTGCAGATCATGCAGATTTGTTACATAGGTATACACGTGCCATGGTAGCAGTTTGCTGCATCCATTGCCCTGTCGTCTCCATTAGGTATTTCTCCTAATGTTATCCCTCCCCAGTCCCCCACCCCTTGCTGTATCTTCCCTAGCCCCCCATTCCCCAGGCCCCAGTGTGTGATGTTCCCCTCCCTGTGTCTCATTGTTCAACACCCACTTATGAATGAGAACATGTGGTATTTGGTTTTCTGTTCTTATGTCAGTTTGCTGAGAATGATGGTTTCCAGTTTTATCCATGTTTGTGAACATGTTATTTCTAAATAATTGTTCTTGGAAGAACCAATGTCAGGTCTTTATAAACTTCATTATAGTAATGTATACAAGCCTCTGCCACCAACTCTCTTTGTTCATCTCTACTAAGCCTACGGAGAAAACTTGTAAGGTAGTTATCTTACATATTTATATGAATAACTTATTCATATAAATAAATATTTTATCATCATACACAAATGACTGGATGGATTCTCAGTAAATCTGGGGAGTATTAGAGGCGTAGACGTACTTAACAATATTTAGGCTACCTAGTGAGCCAGAAATTATATCAGGAGACATGGGAGTCATTTCAGAGCAGCTGAGACTGAAGGAAAGAATTTATTAAATTCAGAAATTGAGTTTTGAGACCATCTAACTATAATTATAGCCTTTGGAACATAATCCCCAAATTTTTTTTAGGTTTTTTTGAAGAATCCCCTTAAAAGGACAGGCAGTCATCCTCCATTGACACTAAAACATGGCTAGAGGCTAGTGTGACCCCTAAACTGGGCCAGGAGAGAGGAAAAGCCCAGTGGTTTCATACTCACACTGGGATTGGAAGTCACACAGGGCCAAACCCCAAGGACAGCAAACACTGTGACCCAGCTGCATGGAGGCAGGATGATTCATCCATGTGATTCACCTTAACCATGATGTGCCTGGGTGCTCTGTAAAGGCCAGCTGAAAACAGTGATAGATGCAGGTAACATATTCGGGGGCCAATATGGGGGTGCCCCCTCTGCCAAGCATGCATGAACCACTCCAATCCGAACAATCAATGAGGGAAATTTAATTATCCGATGATGTCAATGAGTAAATAAAGGCTTGAAATGATGAAGAATGTTTCTCAAGGTGACACCGGGGAATGGCAGATGTAGCAGATAAACCAGGGCTGCTTGAGAGCGTGACTGCAGGGTTTTGAATCCCTACTCCACCACTGACTAAGGTGTAGGCTTAGCATGTTTCTCACCTTTTCTGTAGCTCAGTTTCCTAGTCTATAAAGTGTAGAAAATAATAGTATAATTGTTGCCAGGCTGTGATGAGGGTCAAACAAGCTAATAAATATAGACCTCTGGGTGGTGCTTGATCTGTGTAGGAGCCCAGAAAACAGGTGCAATTATTCTCATGGTTATGGTATCTCATGGAACCATGTATGCTCAGCTTCTTTCATGCTCCACACAGCCATGAGAAGATACTGGATGCCCCCCAGAAAAGCAATGTGATTGACTTTTCAAACTCTATACTGATTTTTAAAACTGCACGGCCTTGAATTAAAGATTCCATGACCAGAAAATACCTGGCACTTCCGTACAAGCCTCTAATACCATCACCCAAACCATGGACTGTGAAGCTTGGCTAGGGGTGGGGCTGGCAAGCAGGAAATGGCAACTTGCCAGGATGACATGAGGCTCCCTGAAGGATTCTAAGCAGTGGTATTCTTGATGACTGTATTAGTCAGCTCTCGTGCTGCTAATAAAGACATACTGGAGACTGCGTAATTTATAAAGGAAATAGGTTTAATGGACTCACAGTTCCACATGCCTGGGGAGGCCTCACAATCCTGGCAGATGGCAAAGGAGAAGCAAAGGCATGTCTTACATGGCGGCAGGCAAGAAGAAGTGCATGTGCAGGGGAACTCCCCTTTATGAAACCATCAGATCTCATGACTTATTCACTATCAGGAGAACAGCACAGGAAAGACCCACCCCCATGATTCAATTACCTCCCACCAATCACTCTGACAACATGGTGGAATTATGGAAGCTACACTTCGAGATTTGGGTAGGAACACAGCCAAACCATGTCAGTGACTAATTTGGCTTCCCCTACACCCATTGACTCTGTCATGGCCTTAACCTCTGGGACCACCCGCCTCTCTGCAGGTGCTCAGAGTCTCACATAGTCAAAAGGACTTGGTCTTCTGTTGAATGTCACCAAGGAATCACAAGACAAAGGCTAGGCAGAGAGGGTTAGGCCATGTAAAGATAGTACCAACTGACTGAACTGTACCAATGAGTCAGTAACTTTTTTGTTCAGGTAGACAGTTGATGATTGGGGGGGTTGTTGTTTTACCTGGATGAAAGAGGGGTGTTTTCGACACCTCTTTGTATGGGTGTCATCATTTCTTTAGCAACATGACCAAACACTGGCATTTTTCTTGTGTCCTATTCACCTGGTTGACAGGACTATAAACAGTTATCCCTTGTTACATGTTCATTTTCCATTGGATTAAATTTGGAAATGAAAAAAGAAGAAAATCTGGCCTCCTTTTGACTAAGTAGTAAAAATAGAGACTGAGCCATAAAGTCAGTATTTCATGGGGAGTTAAGGGAGAAGCTACAGGGGATTCCAGAGTCATTCCAGGAACACAGAGGAAAAGCAGGTGAAAAGAAGGGCTCAGAGTACTGTCACTGCATCAACTAGTGGTACATATCACTCTTCAAGCATCAGGGCCAAAACTCAGGTATCTCAAATGGAGACGAGGGTGGACTTATGGAGAAAGAGAGGAGAAATCTTTTGTTAATATTTAAGACTTTCCAGAGGGATGCTTTAGGCATTGGGGAATTTCCTTACTGAGGAGTTTCTGACTCCTCATGTCATGGAGATATTGTATGTTTATAAGATACGATTAATCCCCTCTCTATGTCAGCCTTTCCCCATGGCTTAATGTAAGCCATCCTCCCTGCCTGTTCTGAATGGGAATGATGCCTCTGTTGGCTAATTTGCAATAGGCCCTGTGAGCAGGCAGTTCTCTCCCACACAGTCTTTGTGGGTACGTAATGGAGGCGTCTGGAGTTTGTATGATTACAGCTTAGAAGATGCCATGGATCATACCTCTCAGGGAGTTTCTCCCCCAAGGGAGAGGGGAGAATCATGCATTTGATCCCGTGTTCCAGAAACATCCAAACTGAGCCATCAGTTCTAGCAGTCTAGTGCTTCACTGTATCCAGGTGAACCTGAGCAGGTTTGCTACCTTTGTCACCCAGAAAGTTCCCCTGCCCTCCAGTTGTCTTCTTACCTGCCACAATTCAGTCTCACCAATACCCTAAATTGCTACTCTGAATGCTCCTCCCCATGCTCTGACCTGTCTACTGACTCGACAGCCCCTTTATTTGTTTACCTCATGTGCTGTGCTCCTGTAAGAACAAGCTGCTGGCAGTTCCCCACACGCTCTAGGGATCTACGTTTCCATGACTTTATTTATGCAATTCTGCCTCCTCCTGGGATTCTCCTCTTTGCCTGTCATCATCAGGCCAGGTCTTACTCATCTTTCAGGTATGAATTTAGGCATGATCCTCTCCAGGAAGCTTCTTCCTTCCTTCCTTCCTTCCTTCCTTCCTTCCTTCCTTCCTTCCTTCCTTCCTTCCTTCCTCCCTCCCTCCCTCCCTCCCTCCCTCCCTCCCTCCCTTCCTCCTTCCCTCCCTCCCCTTCTTTATTTTTCTTTTCTTTTTTTTTTTTTTTTGAGACAGTTCTTGTTCTGTTGCCCAGGCTGGAGTGCAGTGGTGCGATCTCAGCTCACTGAAACCTCCACCTCCCAGGTTCAAGCCATTCTCTGCCTCAGCCTCCCTAGCAGCTGGGATTACAGGTGCCCGCCACCACACTTGGCTAATTTTTGTATTTCTGGTAGAGATAGGGTTTCACCATCTTGGCCAGGCTGGTCTTGAACTGACCTTGTGATCCACCACCTCAGCCTTCCAAAGTGCTGGGATTATAGGCATTAACCAGGGAAGCTTTTCTTAAACTCCTGGGTTAATCCTCAGGCACCCTGGGCATTATTCCACCTAATCTCAAGATTATGCACCCATCTTCTGGATGAAATGGTGAAATTCTCTTAGGCAGTGACCTTGTCTTATTTGTTCCTGAGTACTTAGCACCTAACCCAGTGCCTAATGCTTAGTAGAGATTCACAGAGCGGTTGTCGAACTGATCTGGTTTTGATTCCCATGGTAATACATTCTGATCAGATCCATATTAACAAGTTTGCACAGCACTTAAAGTCCTTATCATGAGGTCCTGTCATCAGAGTGTAAAGCTGAGGCTTGAGATGATCCACAACTTCCCTTGGAACTCAGAGCCAGTGCTGAGCACAGCAAAGGGAGACTCACTTTCTGGCCATGCAAGAGCGTGGGCAAGATGTTGGAACTTCATTTGCTCTGGTCCCTGTTTGTTGATAGATGGTTTCCTCTTACCCCACTCATATGCTCTGTGGTCTCCTGTGCCTTCTGGCCATCCAGGGCATGCGGTGTGAGCTGGCTGCTGCCCCTCAGAGGCTCCAGCAGGTCTGGTAAACAGCCTTCTAGTGTGGGCTGAGGCCAAAGTCTTCCCCAGACTGTGCCTGAGTGAGGAAGGGCAACAAAGACCCTTTGTCCCCCAGGTTCTTCCCACCTCCCCTTCCCTTCCTGCCTTATGCTCCCCAGCTGAGGGAGAGCATGGGCTGGCAGGGCACCCAGGGAGTTGCCCTAGGCAACTGGTGTATAGGCCTCCTTAGGAAGGGAACAGTGGAGAGCTTCTGAGTGTGAGCAGCCACCCCCTTACCACACACATACACTACACACCCATCACATACACACACACATCGCATGCATACTTTACATATGTCACACACCACAAACCCCCAATATATACCACACACATGACATATACATGCAACACATATACCACACGTTACATATGCCACACACCACACACACCACACACACATGCATCACATACACCACACACCCGTCACATACACATCACATACACCACACATGTTACGCCACATACCACATACACCCAACACACACCACACACACCACATACACATTCATCACATACACCACACACCCATCACATACACACACATCACTTACACCACACATCTTACATGCACCACTCACCACACACACACGCCAAATATATACCACACACACCACATACACACACATTGCATACACCACACACCACAAACACACCCAATATATACCACACACCACATACCACCCACACCACATAAACACACATCACATACACCACACATTACATATATCACACTTGCCACACATACATCCAATATATACCATAAAAACACATACCAAACATACCACATACACACACATCACATAAACCATACATTATACATACACCACACACCACACACACCACCATACACCCACTGTACACCACATACACCACATACACACACATTGCACACACATTCCTACAACCAAGTGGCCAGTAAAGATGAAAGCAATTCTTTTGTCTGAGGAGCTGGTCATGGGAGCATATCAACCATGAAATGCCCTCAGGTAGGAGCAGGATTGCCAAAGAATTAAAAATGTATGTGTGATGTGTATGGTATGTGGGTGTGGCATGGTATGTGTGTGAGAGGGTATGTGTGTGGTGTAGGGTGTATGTGATATGTGTGTGTATTGTGTGTATTGTGTGTGTGGCCTAGCGTGTGTGTGATGTGTGTGTGGTTTGTATGTATAGCATA